TGGACATGTGCAGAGGAGGGATAGTGGTTATATTGGTAGAAGGATGTTGGAGATGGAGCTGCCAGGCAAGAGGTCAAGAGGAAGGCCAAAGAGGAGATATATGGATGTGCTAAAAGAGGACATGAAGTTAACTGGGGTGAGAGTAGAGGATGCTGAGGATAGAGTTAGGTGGAAACAGATGATTCGCTGTGGCAACCCCTAATGAGAACAGCCAAAAGAAGAAGAAGTCATTTGAGGCACAGCTCCTATCTTGTCGTGCTCTGTTCATGTCTTTTAAATGTTCTGTATGATGAAATTCATGTCAACCAGCAAAAGCATGTGGTAACTGTATTGTAAAGATGAAATAAGTGCTGATGGACTGTGTGTTTCATGGCTTGCAGTGGCTGTGTAGGTGGTGGTGTAGGAGAAACAGACGTGCTTGTTATAAAGTATGAACGCTTGTAAAAATAAATAAATAAATAAATGTAACCCACACAAAGCTGTGTCAGCTGGCACCATGGTGAACTCAGATACGACAGCAGCGGCCTCATGGAGACAGTTGCCACGGAGACCAGCGCACGTCATCCTGTAGCAGTTGCCATGGTCCTCCTGACGTCAAAGCCCCTCGCAAGATGCTTAGGAAACCCCTTGACACGGTTGCCATAGATACTGGCGGGGGGAGGCGGGGGGTTTAGGGGAAGCGGAAGTGTCAGAACAGGCGGAAGTGGTACTGCCCTGAATACCCCGAGCTGCAGCAGAGGACGGCTTGACAAACTCCAATCGTTCAAAGAATAAAATCGGGATTCCTTGTACGTTTTAAATGTGAGTTCACTTGTATATCATTCGATTACTATCTTATCTACAGGCCGGGGAGATTATTTCGTGTAGAACAGCAGCCCCAGCGGTGGTCTCATTCTCTGCATCTGCGGCGGAAGGTGTCTATTGTGGTTATGGGCTGGGTGCGGGGATTTAGGCCAAACCTTGTGGCTAAATAGCGTGAAATAACTCTCAAAACACCTGACATGTGGTTGTTTGTGCTCTTTGTGCTGTCGAACGCGCTACAGATAAATGATTTTGAAGGGCTAGTCTCAGGTCGATACCATGCGTAGTCCCGGTGTAGGGAGGGAGAAGCAGCAACCAAGTTTGGCCATTTTGACAGTTTAGCAGCAGCCGTGCGTCGGCCGGGGTGAGCAGCCCAGACATATTACGTTAGCAGCCAGTGCTAGGTACAAATCACGATAGATCGCTAAAAGCTAGCATTGTGAGCTACTGGCTTTAACGAGGCAACCGGCATATCTCATTATTAGCAGAACAAACAGGGCAGCGCAGTTGTCGACGTTTTTAGTTGAGCTCCGTCGTGGCGTAATAGAACGATATGGATGCTAACCACCCTCCCTGTTTTCCGGGTGTTTCCCCTCAAATGCAATTTCAGTTTTTAAAACGTTTAAATTCGATCGTGTAAAGTTAACGGTCACGGGGTAGTGGTAAAGCAGGACAAATGCATTATTTTACCATATAGCCGTTTCAGCTCGTAATATTTCACCAGATTGAACTGGGTCAGACCCGTCAAGGTCTCGCTAAGATAACGGTTAAAGCCAACGGCCGTGCCGTAGCGTTCAGTTAGCATGTTGGCTAGCTGGCGGTAATCTATCTCTCCATCTTAAAATTCCGCAGGGGAATGCGACAAGGAGGGCGTAGTTTTAGCAGACCGATTACATGTTACAATGCAAGTATTCGTAGCCTCGGGGTTGCTTTTATTCATGTTGTTTTTTTACCGCTTACATTAAAACGTTTGTAGAAGCGACGGCCTTTTTAGCTGTCCAGTGTATTTTGGTCTGTTGTTGAAGATTGTGTTCCCCATTTTTGTCGGTACGCATAAGGCTTTTAACTATAGTAAAGAGCGTTCCTACTGTTGCGTTCGTAGGTGATGTGACTTAGAGGACAAATCAGTTTTAGTCGATGTGTGGGGTCGTTGCGATGGTTAACCAACGTTTCAATAACTAGCCTTAACCCCAACAGATTTTTCGACATTTTACCCCATGCTAAATGCTAACGCGGCGATACTAAAATGAACTGGTTTAGCCTCGAAGACAGCGTGTGAATGCTACATGAACCCTGAACAATCACTTTCTATTCGATTTTGCATAATAGCATCACCATTTCTTTGATGTATTCACAGTACACATATTCTGGTAGAAGTCGTTATTGTGCTGAAAAACGTGAGTGAAATCAGCGACTACGTTTAAAGCATGTATGAACAACGGTATCACCATTTTGTCCTTTGGTAAACTGGCGGAGCTGCACAGGCCCAGTGAGCACATAATTATTGTATGATTCAGGCCTTATTCAGCCCTTGAATCACCACTAAAAAGGTAACGTTACCGTTGGTGCGCTCCCAGCTGAGAGGCTATTCATTACGCTGCAGGCCGTAGGAAGTGAATAGGAGTGGCGTCAGAAATATGAACGACAGTTTTTGAATGTGTCTCCGAGCACCTTTCCACTCGCATGTGAAGTCACAGCCACTGGTTTAGCAACACGGTAGTCTGTTAAAGGACTACCGGTATCAGTTTGCATCGAGAAAGTGTGGCTAAATTCGAGGTGTCATCTAAAATTAGTAATATTATTCTGTGGCATTGTTCATATGGAAGCACACAAGTTAAAGCATCACATATATACTCACATTAACCAGCTAAAATAATTACTACTGTAAGTCAGAGGTTTTTACTGATTTTCTTTTGAGTAGCCCCACTGATAACAGAAGGTGAACATGAGGTATTTTTTGTTGAAATTGTACATGCAGAAATATATTCACGTTCTTCATTCTGTTCCTATTTTTTTCCCCATAAAGGAAGTGTTCGTTTTTACAGCATTGTAAATTCATATGGCTGCCCTCAAATCATGTAAACTGTTAATGGAAATGGTCTTATCTGTCTTTTTTTGATAAAGTTCAACTGTTCACAGAGAGAAAGATGGAAATTGTAACTTATTTAATGTGCTTTATTTTATCACAGTATGCATTTCATCTAAAAAAAAAAGGTTTGTATATGCTGTCAATTATAGTTTTTAGGGAGAAAATCAGGCCCGGCCAAAAATGAAATCGACAGGTCATACTTAAAAATTCTGAATTGGCCAGGGAAAGTGCAGATGATCACCAAAATGACTGACATTTATACAGACTAACCTATTTTAAGAAGAAATGCCAGTTAGTTTGCAAGTTGGAATTGAATAAAAATGACTTGTAGACTCAAGGCACTCAACATCTGAGTGGATGATGTGAACAACATTCTGTCAATGATTTAGTAAGACTTACTGAAAAACTTGTCAGAGGAATGTCTGTTTTGGCTAATACAGGAAAACATTTCATTTAGGAATATCTCAAACTGTAAAGCAGTCCTGCTCCTTGAGGAAAAAAAATGTAGCTGCTGCAGTATAAACATTTCAAGGTAAATATTGGCATAGTGCCCAACTAGCATGACAATAAGGGATACTATGGATATGACTAACTGTTTTTGGTAGTTTTATATATTTGACTCTTTATCAAGACTATTTTGTTGCAGGTTTTTTTTTTCCAAAGTAATTAGTTATTTATGACAATACTGCAAGTTTATTTTTAAACTGCATTATGTCATTTTGTCTTTGATTACTCATAAATAACTGCACATAACATGTTGGGGAAAATCTTTGTAATGTTTAATTAATAAATATCAGCTGATATATTGAATTATCGGATGTTTAAATATTCAAATTGGTATCGCTTTTAACAATCCTGTATGGGTTGGGCTCTAGCATGTATAAAGTGGAGAGAACTGGACCTAGCACAGAGCCTTGTGGAATGCCCGACTAACTGTAGTGTGCATGGAAGATTGATCATTAACATGAACAAATAGGTGTTTGTCTGATAAGATTTGAACCAACTTACTGCGGATCCTTTAATCCCAGGGACAAGTTCCAGCGTCTGTAAAAAGATGTGATCAACTGTGTTAAGAGCAGCACTGAGATCTAAGAGGACAAGTATGGAGACAAGTCCTTTGTCCGAGGCTAGGAGAAGATCATTGGTGACTTTCACCAATGCGGTTTCTGTACTATGATGGACTCTAAATCCTGACTGAAAATCCTCAAACAAATCATTCTTGTGCAAATGGTCACATAACTGCTTTGCAATAGCTTTTTCAAGGATTTTAGAAATAAACAGGAAATTGGATATTTGTCTATAATTGGCTAGGACACCTGGGTCAAGAGTAGGCTTTATGAGTAGAGGTTTAATTAATGTAACCTTAAAAGCCTATAGAACATAGACTGTTAATAGAGAGAGGTTAATCAGATCTAATATGGACATGATGATTGGAGGTAAACGTCTTTGAGCAGCCTGGTCAGGATGGGGTCTAAGACGTTGATGATTTAGTAATTATAGAATAGAAACGTCTGTTATAGAATAATAGAAGTAATTATTGAGGTCAACTCAGAGATCAATGGGAGAGAAGCAGCCGATAAATGAGGTCTTACAGATGTTTCTGAAGCCGTTGTACTTGATGACACATCTGTGGGAAGGATCTGGTAATTTTTTTTTCTCTGATTGTGGTTTTATTTGTAGAGAAGCTCATGAAGTCGTTGCTGCTGAGATCTAAGGGAATGTTAAGCTCAACAGTACGGTGGCTCTTTGTCAGCCTGGCTCCAGAGATGTGAGCTGTACCACAGAACTAGCCTCCTCAGGTTGTCTGTGTTTTGTCAAACACAGGGAGGGTGAAACACTCAAAATTATGAACTGGCCCTGAAAGCCACTGTCCATGTGAGAAGAGAAGTAGTGAAGGAGGCCACAAGTGAGATGCTGCACTTGCCGTGATAGACTGCACTTTGTACAAGTCGACTGCTGGTGCTTTACCAGCTGCAACTGCACAGCAGGCATAAAGAAGAGAAGCCACTATTGGGGAAACAAAACTGTGTGACACCGTCTGGTGTCTGCAGGAAGAGGCGGTAAATCTTTAAAAGAAATGGAAGACAAGTCTAGGAACTGAAAATGGAGATTTTTGACAAGCATGCTTAAGATAAGCACTGTAATGTAGCAGCAATGATTAACAAAATGAATCTGCTAGTTCTGATTGTTGGTAGATTTTCAAGCAAAAATACCAAACTTTTAATGGCTACAGCTTCTCAAATGTGAGTGTTTCATTGTCCTTGTCTTTGCAATACTGTGAACTGATTATCTTTGTTATTGAGTGTTGGAGGAACAAAATATGTTTTGAGCACCTCATGTGACTCATTTCAGGATCCAGGCAGTTTGATGGGAGGGTTTATTTTTTTGTTCTGATTTGTAAATCAAACGGTTGATTACACAAGAATATATCAAATATTTCACAAAGTGATAATGGTAAAGCAGACACATGGGAAATAAATGAATTCCTTGAGTAAAACCTACTGAAGTCTGACTTAGGTTTATTTTCCAACAAAAGAATGACTCAAAAAGACACAGCAATGATTTAAAATGACTATTAATGTCTTAGAGGTGTTATGATACATCTCAGTTTAATCAAGAATTTCTTGTGGGACTTGAAAATTGCTGTTGAGGAAGAAGAATAAAAAACAAAAGCATAATAAGGGAAAATTGCAGTGTACTGATTTGATGCTAATACACATGTTTCCAGATGCTGCAATTCCTGCCAAATTTGATTTTACTCAATGTTGGTTTGAAGGGGTTAGATACTTTTTGTCTCATAATCTAGTCCAGCAATACAAAGGTCCAGGGTGGTGAATGCCTTTTGCAGGCACAGTATCTAAGTTGACCCCTCCTTTAGAATGTATTGTTTTGATTGGGCAGTCTTTTGTGATTCTCAAATAATTAAAGTATATTTAAAAAGACAGCCAGCCACAGGCAAAATGCCAGCTACAGAAATAAAACTACACAAGTCTAGAACTGATGGTACTTGTGGTTGTGGTGTTTATCTTAGTTTACCAGTCTGCGTTCCTGGGGAGGTAATAGCCCAGGGGTGGTGGTTTCCCCCAGGAAGGGTCCTCACTAGGCTTGGCACCCAAAGTGGAAAATGATCAAACTTGTCAGTATGCAGATGTGAGGTAAAACAGGTTTCTGGTGTGTGCATATAAACATATTTTACTTCTATTGTGATACTGTCAGTTCATTATTTAGCAGGTAAATTGTAGAAATAAGGGATCTACACATGATTCACATGAATAGCGGTTGTGATGCTTAAACCAGTGAAAGCTCACTGGGGAGAGCTGGGTGTGATGTGTGGCTATAAAGGAGCTGGAGGCGAGGCTGTAGCCTACTTAGACCTACAGATTCATCTGGAGAACAGAAAGCCCTGGGGATGAAATAACCGAGAGCAACCATTTCGCTGGAACAGAAAGTGGTTTTGACATTTTCCAAAAGGCTATTAGGTCTGTGCAGGCAGATTTTATTTGGTACTCTCTTGTATTTGATATTAGGATCCATCCAGTGAGAATTTATTAATTTGCAAACCAGTGCTGGCGCTTTGATTATGGAATGAATAAGCATCTTTATACATGTTTCAGCTTCTAAAATGTGACAGTCTGGAAAAAACTGCTTTCCCTTCCTCTTATTTCTTTCACTGTCCTCTGCTTATCTCACAGCCCTGTACTTGCCAAACTTGTCTCCTATGTCTGTCTTATTTCTCTGCTCTGTGCCAGTCTGTCTTCTGTTTCTGCCTGCTCCAGCTGGTAGATGGAATGCCCAAATGTAACTCTGCCTTTCTGTCCCATTCTCCATGCAGCCTAAAACATGGATAAGAACGACCTGGTGCAGAAAGCCAAGCTGGCAGAGCAGGCCGAGCGCTACGACGACATGGCAGCTGCCATGAAGGCCGTGACAGAGCAGGGCTCGGAGCTCAGCAACGAGGAGCGCAACCTGCTCTCTGTCGCCTACAAGAATGTGGTATGGTATCCATCTCATGATTGAAATGTTGAGATTCTTTGAAGATGAATGATGGTACACAGTCGTAAAACCTCTTCCCTTTCACTACTGTCAGCTTCTGCTCTGTTTTACTACAAAATGCTAATAAAACCTTCCTTAACCACCTCACCTTAGAATGCCCTCATGAAAACAAAGGAATGTATGAACTTGAGTTGACATTTCCAAGCGAACACCATGATTTAAACACAAAGCTCAGTTGTAAAATGAGGTTAATTCTGCTGCTTAGTTGCATTTAACAAATGAAACTGTATTCATAAAAGAAAGTCCATGAATACACAGACAATGACATGCGGAAGCAAATTTGCTCAGAATCACAACCCAAGACAGTTCTGCATCCACATCCAGGTCGAATGTTTTAACTTGAGGAGAGACTCGCCATTATTCTGAGTTGGATGACTTGGTGAATAAAAAAAAGACAGGAACAGAGAACGCAAAGTGAAGTTCCTGGCGACTGTGTATGGACCATCTCTCACTTAGTCACTGCTTGTTGTCACAGCAAATGTCATTCAAGGAAATTGGCCATTGACCTCTTGTGGCCAAAAAGGTGGTAAGATAAGGCAGTGAAATAAAACTTCATCGTGGTTCGTTGCTCCACTCATTTCGCACACACACACACACACACACACACACACAGAGTTCACTGATAGAATTATGTTTATATTGTGATTCACTTTTCAAAGCCACTCATTTCCTGGTAGTGCCACAGCTTTGTATTGCCAGACACTGTGCCACTATATATAGTTACACCCATAATAAAATGCATATGGAGCTGAGGATTTAACACCTATAACAGCTAGGAACATCTCCCTCTAGTAAAGGCCTCTTTGTTTGGAATTGACTGGAAACATTTAATGTGGGTAAAGGTTTGCAGCGACAGGATGTAACGTGCAGGCTGCAGCGTTAGACTGTGTTACAGCAGATCTTGGATTTGGGTTTTTATTCTTGAAGATTTTATTACACCTTATGTCAGAACAGCCTTGGGATTTCCAGCACTACAGCTCCACTTATTGTTGTGGTTTACATGAAGTTTTTTTTAAAGCTTGTCAGCACTGAGTAACACTTGGTAGCTTTTTCTTCTTCTTCTTCTTTCCTATTTCAGTATTAGCTGTAACCGCAACAAACAGATGCTGTAAGTCACTGGTTGTGTTTAGGTAGGACATGGGGTGAAGCCACCCTTCTCTGAGGTGATGGGAAAGCAAATGTTGGTGCACTGTCACATTGTCTAAAGATTGTTTCACTTTCTTCAGGTTTAATGATGAGGAATTTCCCTCTAGTATGTAATAAACGTTTTGTTTTCCTTGTATATTGTTGATCTGTTTAATAATTATGCTCGTGTCAAAGAATATAGTGAAACCATAAGATTAGCAGTAAATTTGAATAGTGTTTAACCATGTTCATCTTTCACACTAAATGTGTATTATTTCAGCTCTTTTTCCAGTCGTGTATATATAACATGCTTTGGTTAAATGTCAGTTCTTTGGTTGCTGCCTTTAGGTGGGGGCCCGTCGTTCATCCTGGCGTGTCATCTCCAGCATTGAGCAGAAGACGGAGGGGAACGAGAAGAAACAGCAGATGGCCCGCGATTACCGTGTGAAGATTGAGAAGGAACTCCAAGAAATCTGCCACGACGTGCTGGTAGGGAGAGGGATGGGAGAGGGCCGGCTGGGAGTGGGGGCTGTGAAGATGGGGAGAGAGAGAGAGAGGAAGGGAAAGATGGGGGGAGGTGATGGGTGGGAGGAATGGGAGGACTAGGACAGAAGGTATAGAAAGACTTACCAGCAGCAGCTGTTAAGAGTTATCAAAAAACTTCTTCCAATCACTTTTTCTCCTTGCTACATCTTGGCTTCATTTTTTTGTATTTGCTTGACCAGACCACGTTCTTCCATTGCTCCATGGTCCAATTCTGATGTTTACATGCCCATTGTAAGCACTCAGGGCGGTGGACAGGGGTCAGCATGGGCACTCTGACTGGTCTGGGGCTACACAGCCCCAAATGCAGTAAGCTGCTGCACTGTGTGTTCAGACAACTGTCTTATCATAGCCAGCATTAAGCTTGTTCTGCATTGCTCTCCTGTCTGAGAATCTTCACTACCCATGCACATCAGTGAGGCTTGGTTGCCCATGACCCTGTCGCTGCGTCACCAGCTTAAAGAACTGACTGTTCACATGCTGCCTAATATATTTCACCCTTTGTGGCTACAGTGGCATTCATTAATCAGTCATTTACTTCACCTGCAAGTGTTTTTTTAATGCTGTGGCTTATCAGTATACACGATGTGTTGTTTGCACATGAATACATTTTATGGCCCTCGTGCATATTTTATTGAAGTGGCCTCTGTCAGTGCACTGTGTTGCCAAATGACACTAAATTGCGCTGTGGCAATAGTCATGCGAGGTTCCAACACCCAGAAATTACTTATTGATTTGAGGGACTTGGACTTGTTAACCAGTGCTGTTTGCCTAAGCTCCACCTTCATTATGTGGCCACTGCATCCTGGAGCTCTTCTCTAAAGTGTTTCCTTTTTGATGGAATGTGTTCCTGGTCGGAACATCTTTAATCAATGAGTGAATCAGAAAGGCTTTAAAAATGGTCAGTGTGAACACAAGCTACATTAATGCTGCTGATCTGCCTGCTCTTCTCTGTTTATAGACAGCAGCTAAAAAAGTGAATATCATTGAAAGTCTCATTCAGCTCAGATTTGGAGTTCAAAGCTGCTGTCAGAAATCTGTCTGCAGTTATTAAACAGTTTAGGCCTTGCATCTAACCCCTCACACTGTCAGGAGCTGACTAGGTTAGATTGCTCAAGGTCAAACCAGACTCAAATATTTAGTGCTTGAGCAGACTTCTAATAATATCTACAAGGTCAGGCTGGAAGCTTCTGCAGTGATGTGGCGCTGGAGAAATGAAGGGAGCTGTCCTTAAAGCAGCAGGAAGCTAGGAAGGGGCAAGCTGCAGTGCATCCACAGGACAGAAAATGTGTTGGTGATTTGACCTCAGAGATATTACCAGCTCATAATAGCAAAAATGGAATTTTATTCCCCATTGTTCATGTTATGGTGTAGAACCTGTTGGTAAATGTTTGTTATGCAGAGCATTGTTTCATTATACATCTGAAAAGAAATGTCACTGAAAACTGCATATTTTCTGTCAACATAAGAAACAAACTAGGTTTATTTTGTCATGGTTGTCATAGTTAACTGATCTGCTCAGGTCACACTAATGCAAAAACCCTGTAGAATCCTACACTGGTTCAAGTCTGTACTGCTCACTGATCTACAGTACATCACTGTCTACAGTGGTGGAATACAGTGGATACCAATACTGAGGACCCCACCCCACCCAGATTACTCATTTAGCTGTGGGCATAATGTTGTATACTATGTTATTTTTGTGAAATGAAATTAAAACTTAGTAGGATACATCAGGTCAAATAGGTATATTTGCTTTTTCTCTTCACTCTTAGTTACACAACAGCAGCACCTGGTAGTTAGAATGTGTAAACATTTGGTAACAACTACTCCACTTGGTAAACATGTTAGAACGTGGATAAGAGCTGTGTCCTGTTCTACATTGGATGTTCGAGATGACCACTACCGTCACAGGTCACAGGTTCAATTTTAGGAAGAACTGCAGCACAAAGACGAGCATTAGTAAAACTGTGTAATCGGGTAACAAGTAACTGACAGGTCTTTGTACGTTACTCTGTACAAACACAGAATCTGCTGTCCTGTTTCAGTTGATTAAACCTGTTCTGGTTGTCTGTCTGTTTTAGAATCTGCTCGACACATTCCTCATTACCAACGCATCTCAGCCGGAGAGCAAGGTGTTCTACCTCAAAATGAAAGGAGACTACTACAGATACCTGTCAGAGGTGGCCTCTGGGGATCAGAAGAAGGGTGAGGATCCGGGCTCGAGCCTTAAAAAAACCCTGAATTTTCTCATAGTTCTTTCACAGTCATTTTGTCGGGGAAGGGAGTATGGTGTTAACTCGGTTGCAAGTGGGAGGAGTTACTGAGTTACTGAGTTACTCAGTGTTCCACCCTGTGAATCAGATCCTTTTACTTCTCAGGCAGTTGCTCAGAGTAAACAGGCCTTTTTATTAAACATAACTTGCTGTATCAAGTCTGGGTTATTGCTCCAAAAAGAGCTAGAAACTGTTTAGCTGTGCCTTAGTAATACTACAGCTTGTTACAGCTGCCAAAATAAAGGTGCTGTTTAAAGGATTGTAAATGTTTTTTCACATTGAAAGAAGTAGTATAATTATGAAAACACACCATTACTGAGAAGATTGTCTGGCCATTGGAGTTTCTACACTGCACATTACACTGTGCGCTAATTTGGATTTGGTGGAAAATCTGCCAGACTAATTTAAAGTAGGAACTGAGGGAAATGTTGCAGCTGGTAAAGAAAATAAAAACCTGATTGAGAAATCTTCAACACATCTGTTTTGTGCAGCAAGACCGGTTCTTGTGCTGATTGGCTGAAATTAGCCGGACAGACTCCGATCCTTTTTTCACACAGAGCATCCTAGGGTGTGTGGAGTACACGGACTGAAAGGCCAGGCAGAGAATTGTGAGGGAAGGTGAACTGAATATGACAAAATGTGTAGTGGATTAAAATTGCCGACTACACCTTTAATGGTGAAACAGGCTCAGGCTGTTGCCAAGAGACAGTAACCTATAATGTTTTGTTACCCAGGTTATCAGTCACCTGACTCTGATTATCATGGCAACAAGCCAAAGCACACCCGTGGTCTACAATTTGTGACAAGATGGTGACTCTCTACTGGTTTGACTGGTGGTAGATTGACTCTGACACATGCGCTCGTTGCCCTGAAACACAGCATACAATGTCTTAAAGCTTAAGCATTAAATACATTTTCTCTCTTAATATTTTATTTCCTGTTTGCTGTTGTAAATCATTTTGGAGGTAAACCAGCAAATGAAAAACAATTAATGGATAATGTAAGTTCTTGCCCATTTTCTTACCTGTAGACTAACCGATTAATTTTTGCAACTTTAAAAGGAATTACAAGTGACGCCACAAGGATTACTGTATTACAGAATACACTGTGAACTTGCTTAATTTGTAGAAAAGGGTGAAGTAGCGTCCAACGCATGCTGCCCAGCCTGTTGCAGAAGTAGAATAATACAACTTTGAAAACCTAAAGACTTGTGAACTGTGCTCAGGCTTCTAAAGAGAAACTCATTAGTCTCACTGAGGGTAAAGGTCCTCAGAATGATTTTTAAATGGTTTATTCATCCATCCATTCTGTTATTTCTCTAGGTTGTGTTAATCAAATTATTTGTCATTGAAAATGTTTCTACTTCTCCAACTTGAATCGTTCATGTTTCCCTGAAATACAAACATGTTGGTGACTGGACTTTCAATCAGCCTCAACAGGTCAAAATCGCAATTTGCTGCAACTGACAAAATATGGGAAATGTTCATCCAAGTTGGAGTCCAGAAGGTTTCGGTTGTCTTGTTTTTTCTGACCCCAGTGGTCTAAAACAAAGAATGTCCATTAGCAGCATTATAAAACAGAGACAAGCACCTGTTTTATGACCAAACAGGAGCCTTAGCTGTACTTGTGTTTAGTGATAATTAGCTAGTGTTACCATGCTAACATGCTAAATATCATACCTGCTAAACATCAGCTTTTTAGCAGTCATTGTGAGCATGGTGACACTTGATTTAAAGAACCACTGTACCTCACCGAGCTGGTAGTGTGATGGGTTTGTTCCGAAATACCAGGACGTGGTCTGGAAACTGAGCCCTCTTGTAAAGTTTTGTTGATTCAACCTGTCTCAGTGCAGCATGTCGTCACTTGTGGTTATTTGTTGTGCAGACACGGTGGACAACTCTCAGCAGGCCTACCAGAAGGCCTTCGACATCAGCAAGAAGGACATGCAGCCAACACACCCCATCCGGCTGGGTTTGGCCCTCAACTTCTCCGTCTTCTACTATGAAATCCTCAACTCGCCTGAGCAGGCCTGCTCTCTGGCCAAGCAGGTGGGTGCCTAACACCTTGGTTATCCATACAACAGGCCAGAATATAGACCCTTTTCACAGCGACGTCATCTAACATCCAGATTTTGGTGCGATGGTGTATCACTGTTTCTGGTTCAGTGTTGCACTGGGGCAAACTGATTTAAGAGCAGAGCTGCAGTCCAACATTTCCCTGAGATTGTAAAATAAAAAAAGACAATGCCAAAACCCACCAGAATAATAATTAAACATTTTTGATGTTGTAAATCAGTTGTTCAACAAAATATTTAGTTTTTTATTACTACTACTGTAATGTTGCACAGTTAACAGAGCTCTGGTAGCCAGCAAGCAACGTTAGCAGTTAATGTGCACAGGAGCCTCAGCGAATGTCTATTCACAGTATTAGCTTGGGACTTATACCAGTATGTTAAAAATTCCAAGGAAGTGTTTTAAATATATGATGTAGCTTGGTGAGGGGATGGGCAGCTGTATTATGTATTTTCAGAGCTGATAAACATGTACCCTCCAGAAATAACCAAGCAAGCCATGTCCATGGGCAGAACCCCACCACCAGTGTTATCAGTTCAGCTGTTTGCAGTCATAAAGCGCCTTTAAGCTTGACGTACGACTTACAAATGCAATAACCGGTACGTTATTCACAGGAACATTCTTTAGACCCTTATGGTAAATGGTCTTATACTTGTATAGCGCCTTTCTATGCTTTTACAGCACACTCAAAGCGCTTTCACACATTATTCGGCCATTCACCCAGTCGCACTCACGCATTCACACACGGGTGACATCACCGGGAGCAACTGGGGGTTCAGTGTCTTGCTCAAGGACACCTTGACATGTTGACTAGACAAGCCAGGAATCGAACCGCTAATCCTCCGGTTAGGAAACGACCCACTCTACCTCCTGAGCCACAGCCGCCCCCTTATGTAAAATGTTAATATTGCTAAAAGGATGCTAGCATCTTATTTGCTACATAGTGTATCCCCTAAACAAAACTAGCGTTAGCATAAATTAGAAAGCCTATAAAATTATACCTTAGCACCCTTTGAAATCAACTGGGTAGCATCCAGTAAAGAAATCATAGCCTTTGTCAGGTGTGGACTGACATGTCAGTTGTTACCTTTTGAGATCTGTGGCTCCAAACTGAAGCTAGGATACCTCTGGTGTTTATGAAAGCTAGCCTTAGCAGCCCCGGGCTTGATGCTGATGAAGAGGAGATAACATTGCTTGAACAGGGACTTTGTTCCACCTTGCCTCAGCCAACATCATATTTGGCTTCTTATGCTTCGTATACTGTACTGCAAGCTTATCTGGACGCTTTTTTAGCTAACTACTGTAACTTTTTCCACCAGGAGTAGCATGTACATTACTGTACCGACTGCTTCACATGTCACAATCACATTAACCATAACCTGTTAAAGGGGAGGCCTGACTAGTAAAGATCCATAATCCATTAAACATCATCCATTTATGTCTGTGGCAGCTACTTTAGACTGTATGAACTCAGTGATTATGCTGATCAGCAGAAGTGATTTACCCTGGTTTTGAAGGAAGTTGTCTGATGTCATGTGAAAAGGGTCTACTTGAATGTTTTTATGGTAATATGGGTTATGCCCCCCCCTCCACAGAGCAGCCAGCAGTTAACAGCCAGGATGAAGCAGCATTGTGCCGGCTGCTGAACTCTTGTTTCAGGCAGACCTGTAGTCCTCGGGCACCTGACAGCTGTTCTGTGGATACAGTTGCCACAAGTCAAAACCTTGAGATACATACATGCCATGTGATTTGTGGTCTGTTTGAAAGAAGCCATAGTCCAAACATGCAGGGTTATGGACTGAGCTCCACAATGAAAAGGCCTGCTAGTGCTGCTGCTGTTATATACGACTGGTGTAAAAAAAAAAAGTAAATGTGAAACAGTTTGCAACTTGACTGAACAAAAACAAAAAGATTCAGCTCAGAAGGCAACAAAAACAAAAAGATTCAGCTCAGAAGGCAGCTCTCCAAGTCACTGATTACAATTGTTAACACAAAAGAACAAAGAAGTTGATCCGATCGACTGAGACGGACCTAATCTGTGGGTGTCGGTACGCTTTTGGGATTTATGTCAGTGAACCTTTGTGTTCTTCCCTGCAGGCTTTCGACGAGGCGATCGCTGAGCTCGACACCTTGAACGAGGACTCGTACAAAGACAGCACGCTGATCATGCAGCTACTAAGGGACAACCTCACTGTAAGTATACACATAGTTAGCTTTTAATTATTGTGAAGTGATTTGTTTGGCTGCACATTTTATCACTGCATCAACAGTGGATGACTTGGAATCCTAATCACAGAAGCACACACTGTATATATTTACCAGTACCTATCAGCAGGTTACTGATTGTTAACATGTTGAGGAACTGATTTATCGTGTCTCTACAGTAAATGCATTATATTGAGCCACCATTTCTTCAGCCACAAAAACAGTAGTTGAGCCCTAGTCAATATTTGGCGTGGTTATCTTGTGTCCACTGGTTGTGTTGACAGAACTGAGGTCTCACACCCGGTGAACACCAAATCCTTCATCAGAAAGGCCCAAGTATATTTACAGTCAGGGTACTGATACTGCTGCTAAGGCTTTTCTATCCTAAATTGGAGTGAGCAGAACCCGTTTTAACACACCTACAGTGCTGGTGTGTCTAAGCACATGTATTTTCTTTTTCCACCCCAAATTTTAAACTTGACTAACTGAAATAACTTGGCTGCATTTACACAGCATTTAACAACATTATTACTTGTATTAATCTGCAGATTGTACTCTTGATGAATCAGGAAGTCTTTATTGTTAAGTATTATGTAAACATGCCATTCACCACAGTGACACCCCCGGTTTTCATGAAGGCATTAAACCAACAGTCACAATGTAAAAATAGACAATTTACTGTGTGATACAAAGGAACACAACAAATCTGAACATTTCAGAATGAAACCATTAATAAATGCTGCAGAGGACTGATCAGTATTAAACTGCCTTTCACAATAATTCACATCGTGAACATTAAAGCACATTTCCATTGCGTATTGTCCTGAGCTGGTCACCTGGAGTTTTCACTGTCAGCTAAACTCCTATCGTTCTCTCTGGATGCTAGAATTAAGTGTAATAATGCTTGGTGGTAAGTCAGCGGTAGATGATGGGCTCAGGTATCTCTCAAATACGTTATACATGTTAGGAAATAGTTGCTGAAAATGTGAAAACACTGAACTATGTGGAGTTGAGGATTTTTCAGGTGGGGCAGAAAGCCTGGCTCTGATGCACTAGGGTCATCCTTAACATAAGGCCTCCCCCAACACTGTAATGCTATAGATGCTAATGCTGCTGCCTCAGCATTAATGCCAAAAGTAGGAACTCATGAAGGGTGTGTTTGTTGGAGCTGAACTCACTGTAGTTGTTGGAGG